GGGGGGGGGGGAGGTAGGAGGGCAGAAGGCGGTAGAGATCTTCGCTTTCGCATGATATGACCCAGGTACGAGGAGATTGTTCCAATATGAGAATAATTTATTATCGAGATATGTCTAGCAGTTGGGGTGTTGGAAGGATCAGTGGTGGGAAAAGGAGGAACCAGATTGTGGCAGAAATTAAAGTAAATCTTTTCTTAATTACGCAAAAGATTTAATTAGTGGGTATGCATAAATCTTCATGGAGGAGCAAAAGTGCGTGTGTGGCGCGCAATTTCAGCGAATAAGGTCATCTTCAGAGAGGTGTATATTACATCGACTTGTTGTTGAATGGCTGCCAACAGTTGAGGAGTCGACAAGACCTCGATCTTTGCAGCTCGAGTCAGTTAGCCTGTGACAATTTTGACGACTTAGCGATTTTTAGGGCAAGACTATTTCAACTTCACGTGCTTCTCCTTCTTCTCAAAGTGTATGTCACATGAAAGTCATGCTCAGACATTATGGTTACTGTAGTATCCGCGTCTTTTCACAAGCTTTAGTTTGATCCAGAATTTACCTTGACTCAGTACAACTTCAGGTCTGTGTATCAAGGAGGATTCTCAATGAACCCGCGGATGTGTATTTGTCGTGTGATTGGTGGCTACCTCCTAACCTCGATACACGAATTCAGTGTGTCAACACCCCTACTTTTGATCTTTGGTGGTGCCTCTGCTTGAGTATAGTCCCTTTGCCAAATCTGCTTGAATCCTGAGACCAGACGAACTGTTGGCTCAAGAACCGCCAGGTGAAAGTGAAGTACTTTAACTTGCCATCAGACTGAGCGAGGATTTGGACGAGTTTTTATTTCATAAACCACCAGCTCGTAAAATGAGGCAACAACATTTGAGACCTTCGTAACAGAACTTAATGTCACCAAGTTAATGATGACGTCTGGCGCCTGTTTGCTGAACAATATTACCATTTTAGCCTTAAAAGTTGACTCTGTATTTCCTAACTGATCCTTTTGAAACGCCAACAATTTCATCTTCTTCCTGGTTTTGGAATGAAATTCATGAGTATTTCATGTTCTTTTGATTCAAAGCCTAAAGACGTTGAAAGTGAAATGCGGATAGAAGTACGCAGACAAGGGCAAGTTGTGCTGAACATCTGCTGGTGTGAGGTTTTCTGTAGCCCAAACCAAAAGCCCTCTTGCCCCTTACACAGTCTACTGCCTAACGGCCTAGGCCGTTGTTACCTATCCTAATTACGGAGAAAAAAAACACGTTTTGCTTTCCGTTTGTTGGCAGTTGATTTTAGACTTTATTGACATAGGCATAACATTCGCCCATTGATGAGCACTAGCAATAGCAAATAAAACGACAGAACGCCTCCGATAGTGTTAATGCTGGTGCCACATCGAGTTGAGACGACATTTTTCGCAGAGTTTAGTGTAAAACAAGCATATAGACACAACAACAACACCATGCACGTTCGATGGTAACCCTAATGGCAAGGTAAGGTCAGTCGCTCATGGGGTGCTTCACATAGTGTTTTTTACTTGCATCCTCAGCCACATACCATCCTTATTATTCCACTTGGAGTAAAATTGGAGTTTGTTGGGTACAAGACAACACATGCATGTCTTAGGATATCTCAAAAACGTACCCATCTCCTTCTAAACGTTTCTGATAGTCTAAATGAAGTGTGTCCTTTGAATCTTGTATCAATGTGAAATTCCTGGTGAAGGACCTGAACTGGCAGTGGTGTGTGTCCACAGTCACTACATCCTACTTCACTGTGTAGTATCCACGATCTGGAGCAGAGAAGAGAAGAAAAGGGAGCAGAATAGGAGAGAGAAAAGCGATAAGTCTAAATCCACGCCATGACTGGTCCACAAGGCGGGGTTGGGGGGGGGGGGGAAAGAAGAAGAGGGGGACTGTGTTGCATTGCATGACTTGGTAGGTCTCTTGACTAAGGCTGTGATTATGCGATAACCAGGGGCATGCACACACCCAGTGGTAGGCATATGAGCATGTCAACAACTGCACAACACGAATCGGGGCGAGCCAAAACCCTCGATCAAGTAATCCACCTGTCTACCCTGACGACTCATTTGTGTCATGGGACTTTGCATACTCATTGCTAGTTGGATTGGCGAGGAACAACTTGATGTGGGTGAGTAACAAGTAGTAAATGTTAATGAAGTTGTTTATCAACAGCGACTCCACAAATGTGCCAGTTGTTTTCTGTGAAGCGTTCGCATGCATCGTATTGTCGGGCATGGAATGAGGGTAGTACGGGCTTGTTGAATGTTGTGTTTCAGCTAACGCTCTTCAACACTACAACTCTGCGTAAAGACTTTTCATCCAGCAGTGTCAACTTCACCTTTGCACTGCCATGGCGGTTGGCGCGACGAACTTGTTCTGACCGGTCAGACCTTTTGATAAAGGTACAATACAAAAATACGAGCCAAATAAACAGTAACCAATGTGGTTTTAGCTCTGTAAGTAGGTGATAGATGTCAGCAGCGGAGTTTCTATTCGCCATATTGCCCAACCATCTTACAGAACCAAAGCAGGTTGGTTAATTGATAAAAGATAGTATGACATTCTATGAAATGTTGGAAGTCGAATTAATGAGACTGGTCCCGTCACTGGATCAAAGGATATAATAGTACCAACTAGTATGTCATTTGGTGTTTGGTGACTTTAACTGACATGTTAGGTAGTGAAAAGAAAAGGTGATCCTTCGAATAAATCGTAGCCAAGTTGAATGAAAAACGAGGGTTGGTTCCACCATTTGCAGTTGTAGCATGACAAAAAGATGCCGTAACTCCAATAACCCCATCGCTTAATAGGCCCGATCAATCGGTAACAGAAATTCCATCTGTGAATTGCCTCTGCCGTTGCATGAGGATATTATGACTACGTAACGAGAGGATCTCAAAACGCGCACCGTGGAGAGCTACCTTGGCTAAGAAGGTCTGACAAAGACCAAAAATGAACTATCGAATGAATAGAGGACCTTAAAAATTTACCAGAACGGTCCTCCGGAACTAACCACATGGCAGACACTCCTCTTGTCGTGCCTTTTGGATAAGTTGCGATAAAAACGTCGACGGTTCCTCAATCATTTAGATGTGATAAACTAAGGTAAGATCCTTAACAGTCGGAGAAATTGTTGATAGAAGGACACTGTAGTAAAGGGCTGCTTCGGATTTAATTCTGACATCTGGTGGAATCCTTTCAAATGCTGTTTGATTGCATAACTAAGGAAATAGTAAAGGATCCACCCCTATTAGAATACGTAACTTTATTCAAGGCTTCAATTCTCGACGTCATTTACTTTTGGCGCCGAGAGTTTATAGCTAAACGCCAAAATTTAAGTTGCAACTCTCTGCTGAAATACCCGGGGCCTGTTGGGAGGTCCACACAAATTGTAATGGCGTCTCAAAGTAGGATTCTGGACCTGAGCATTCAAAATAACACGGGTTTCAAAGTAAATCAGAATGCAAACACAGGCGTCGACCTGTGCCTGAGTTGGGCTGATATTCCCAGAAGGATGTGCTCACAACTTGAAAGGAAATTGCCGGTAAAGAACCTTCCAGATTATGCATTTCCAGAGCGTCCTATATGGTGTAAAATGAACTGACGGACGCGGTGGCGATCCGATCTGCCCTGATTAATGGAGCCTTCACCGAGTAGACTACACGCACTTTCTCATCTCGACTTGGTCAACCTCAGATCTCGCCAAGATACGATTTAAATCACTGCTTCCCCGTCCTCTCTCAACCCCACTGATGCATGCAGAGTTGGTATTGTGGACTGAATAATATTTCACGGCTTAAAGTGCTCCCTCTCGCAGTAAGCTTGTCAAGAGGGGCAGCTTTAAATAGCAACTTTTCTAGTGACTGTGCGAATTATGGGGTGTGGAAACAACTACTAGGAGGACGAGGGGATGGAGAAGGAGATTGGAGGTGACTTTTTACCTCGTAAACTAAAGAAAGCTATAAATCATCTCTTCGTGTACGAAAAAAATAAATGCACACCAGGTTGAGAAAAATGCGTACGTACTTGCTCTGTTGCAGGGTCTTTTCTACCCACCTTTTCCGCGCTCGCATGCACGTGCATACGGCCACAGCATCCGTCAAAACTCATTTATCATCAAATTAAGTTCGCTTTGACATGAACCCTCTGAAATCGGATCCTGCACCCCTTCCCCGAGCCACGTCGGTGGAAATCACAGTGATTCACCAAAACGAAGACAAATAGACAAAAAGTCACCCTTAACCTCCCATTAATCCGCTCGCTTTACAACAATTTCACCTCCAGCAAACAATGCACACGCGTCGCTACAAACCCAGCTCACAGCTCCGTGGAGTCGCAATCACCAGTGTGGAGGGCCCACGTCACTTCGCGGCTTGCAAGCAGAACATAAAATCCAATCGACCAGACGCACGAGGCGACTTCGGACAATGGGCAACGCTAAAATCACAAACAACCGACAACCCCTCCCCCTCCTGCAAACGAAATCCCCATTACTTTATGAAGTTAGAGAATGCTCGAGCAGACGCTCTGGATTTGCGATCAAACGCAAAAAAAGGGACCAAAACGGTTAAGTTTTGGAGTTCAACGATTGAGGAAGAGAGCAAGGGACTTTACAGTGTTGGGTTTATATTTATATACTTAATGGTGGGGGAAAAAAGGATAGAATAGTGTAAACAATAGGAGTCCGACAAAGGTGCGCACGCAAGTTGTAGTAAAATCAGCAAACCATGTGTGTGACGAGGAGTATGGGGGGAGGGATGAGAAAAAACATATTTCAAATTTAGCATGTGTGTAGATGTGTATGAGGATATTTGTGTGTACAGAGATTGATGATATATAGATACAATGAAGTGTGCGTGCGAGCGCAGCTACCTTCCTTACTTGCTTTCGGGTTGACAGCAGTACACGTGAACGAGGTAACTGAAGGAGCGTGGTGTACCTGGTGTGGATAGAGGAGAGTGAGCACTACTTCTTCCCGGGAACAGAGCCCCCACTGCCAGCAGCACCACCGAGGCCCGAGGCTGCCCAGAGCTGCATGAGGTTGAAGTAAGCGGAGGGATTGCTTTGGATCTGGCTGAGGAAGTGCGTGAGCACGGCGTTCTGCTGAGCGGCATGAGCCGCAGCTGCCTGGGCCGCCGCTTGCTGCTGGGCTTGCTGTTGTTGCTGCTGCAGCACGAGATACTGCATCGCTTGCTGAAGCAACTGCGCACGCGAATTTGCGTTCTGAGCCCCGCTCGCTAGCAGAGATGCGCAAGCATAGATGTAAAGGTTACTGAAAGAAAGCCCTCGTGCTTCTGACTTCAAATGGTGCTCAACCCTTTTTGTTAAACGGCACACTAGATACCTCCTTCATAGGATGTAAAAAGCAGATAGTTCCTTTACATTCAGTGATTAATTCCTAATCAAAAATACACTAATGCCCCACTTTTGGCAAATGCGCATTATACAGAAAACGTGTACGATCCTAAGCCTAATTAATAAATAAGTTCAGAAAAGCGCAATTAATAGTACAGCTAACAAAGTGATGTTTTTTACGGTCAAAATCTAAGGTCACAAAATGCTGTGAAAAACAACGAGAGTAAATCACACCAAGCAATCGTCGAGTAAGTGGAGCAACAAGTTGTCCGTGAACGAACTCATCTGTGGCTTTGTAGAATGAGACGAATGAACTGTAAGCTCACTTATTTCAAATAAGTTGAAACCGTGGGACTGACACTTACGAATTCCGCCACAGTTTAGGGATGTTAAGTGGACGGACTATGCGAATAGTTTAGCACTATCCCCTGGCTAGACCAGGACTCCCGAAGGAATCGACATCATTAAAAAAGCGTACCTTTAAGAGCTTGCATCCAAGATATTAAAATAAACGTCGCGATTTAAAGGTCAAATCTAACCACAATGTTAGAGGGTCAAGCGAGATCATTTGCAAAGGACCGGCCCTGCCCCATCACCAAGGCGATGGGGGTAGATTAACGCTGGCCTAAAATTAAGCATTTCGAAACTGCAAACACTGTCAACGAGCTAGACATCTGATATTAGGCGCCTTGAAAATTGGATCTAACCGACATGAGGTACGACGCGGGTTTTACAAGCGTCTTCACGATGGGGGGAGGGGGAAATGTGCCAAAGTTCGGACACAGAGCCAAGAGTATCACAAGCCTAGCCCACTCACGCATACGCACAAACACAAAAGTAGGCAAGCGCAAAAAAAAAACGCTAAATTGTCTGGGCTTGAAGCTGCGCATATGCACATGCCGTCATCAATCAAGCAACCAATGAGAGCTCGCCTTTCCCTGTCACTATGCTAGCAAATCGATGCCCCTCTTACGTTCCCTCATTCTCACAGGGTTGCCCTATGAAATTTCTTGAAAAAAATAGACGTATGTAGAGGTCGAAATTGAGACTCCGAACAAAGTGGTATGCACGCCAGGTGGACAAGAGGGCGAACCACATCTGTCACAAGAAATATCGCGGCATTCAGAAAAGAGGAAGTCCAGAACACAAATAGTAAAAGCCACCACTACTTGAAACTAACTGCCCCATATCGGGAAGACTTTTGTCACCATCATTTGAAAACTTCCACGTCCCAGGTAGCCGAGGCCTTCCCCCTTTCCTTCACTGTAGAAAGGGAGAGGTGTTTCAAACCCAAAAAATCTAACTAAAGGATTTGGGCACGCACGCACACACCGACAGCAGAGAGATGCGCAAGGAGATGCACTGCTAGGGGTCTGATCCAGAGCACACCCGCCGCAATTGCTGATCGATCCAGCTGGAACGTACCTCCACTGATGAGAGCGTTGCTCATGAGGAGAGTCTGAATCTGACTGAGGGCGTTAGCGGTGTGATCAGTGGTCGTTGGCGCAGAGGCAACAGCGACAGCCTGTTGCTGATGCGCTTGAAGGCCGGAAAGGAGCTGCGCGGCTGCCAGGCGCTGTTGTTGTTGTTGTTGCTGCAAAGCGGCGGCCGCAACTGCCTGTTGCTGCTGCTGCGAGTTGGCCACCGCAGCCATCATCAGCGCAGCTGTGGCCGTGGGTGAAGCCGCAGAAGTGGTAGAGGCTCCAGACATGGCTTTCGCGTACTGCTGAAGGGCTATCTGAGCGACTGCAGCTGCCTGGGCGGTAGCCTGAGCGGAGGAGTTGGAGACTGTCGCAGAACCAGCAACATTCGCAGCGCCACTGACCACTGAGGCGGCGACACGTGAACGCTGATGCGCGGCGGCTGCCACAGAAGTACCGCCCACGACTGTGGAGGGGGACTGACGAAGACCTGAGGCCGTTGTGCTCACAGATGACTACGTAAAGTGGCACGAAACACTTGTTACAAAAACTAATTGAAGTCTCAACACACGATAAAAAAACGACAATACAATCGTCAAAAGCTCCGATGCATGCAAAACAGACTCCACACATTGTAACTTGGCAGAGTTAGCAATGTATACCAAAATTTGCCTCATACAATACAAAGTAAGGGATGACTGTAAACTACCAAGCCAACACAAAAATCCATTAAAGTCAAAAAATTAAATGTTGGCAATCCTCGTGACTGACGAATTACTGATCGAATGGCCCAGTCGCAAGTGAAAATTTCAACTTGGATAGAAATAAGTCGCACTAAAAATAAGTTACAAATACCTTATTATTGTACCGCTGACTGTAAGCTGCCTGCTGTTGAGCAAGTTGTAGCTGATGCGCTTGCTGAGTGGCCAATAGCTTTTTCTCCTGCTCCTTTATGTACACATCCAACTTGGTCGAATTGGTGACAATGTCCTGGTATTCCCGTTCCACTTCGCGTTCCGCACTAATGTGAAGCTGCAGAACCTTTTGCACAGCCTCTTCGTACTCCTTCTTCAGGGTTAGCCTCTGAGTCGCCGTCAGACAGGCCTCGCATACTACATGCGTGGAGCCAGGTTTCTCCCGTTTCCAAACGGGAGTAAAATCAGTGCCACACTTCACACACGAGAAAGGGTTAAAACTGCAGCGTGTTTCCGATGACTTTCCGTTGCCTGATGGATCATAATCCTACATAAGAAATCGGTAGTTGAATGACAGCCAAAACACGATGACTTCTTGAAAAGTGACAATTACCTGGATCGACTTAACAACCTCCTCAAGACCCAATAAAGATGTGAATTCCGTTGTGAGCGTGCTAGGTATGAAAGCGATTTCGCAGAACCCGGTTCCAGTCGTTGGTCGTGGAAGGCTGACTTTTTCCAAATTCCGTTCCAATTGCTTTCGCAGACCTGCCTTCTTAGTGGCATAAAGCTGCTCCAGTGATTGCAAAGCTGCTTGTTTTGTAACTTTAGGCGTGGAAATGGGGGAGCCCGGCTGGTGTGCAGCTGGAGGCAGAGCTAAAGGAAGTGTGCTTACAGAACAAAATAGTACTTTTCGTTGCCTGTGCAGCCGAGGGTAACCTTTGGGAAGAAGTTTGACTAGAGGTCGGTTTCTGATTACTCGTGCTGACATTGTTGTTCAAAGAAGACGAAGATTGCGAAGAATTAAGCGTAGCCTTGGACACTGGGCGGGAGCTAGATGAATTATTTGAGTTCTGGCTTTCACGCAGTTTTTGAAGAAGCAAAAGAGTGGCCTCCTCTTGACGAAGATCATTTTCCAAAGATATCAATAAGGATTTGACGTCTGTCCCATTGGTTCCGCAAGGGGCGTTTTCCTTTTCAGTATCCGAACTTGAAGGCGTCACTTTCTCATCCTCATCCTCGCTTAGAACAATAACATCGGAAGAGCTCTAAATTGTTGATAGCCTTTAATAAGAAACCCACTTTAGGTAGATCCATTGTAGTCTTGTGACTTAAGTCGAGGGCATCAGCTACAGTTTTAGGTCTACGAAAGGAATGATTTAGAAATTAAAGCATACCGTTTCGCGGGAGTACACATGGGAATTTGTTCTTCTGGAGATTCCTTTAAAACTGTAAGAAAGTAATAGCCAATTAACGACAAACTGCTAAGCTGGATACAGCACAGAATGCCAATACAACGAACCAGTAGAAAACGGGCGTATGTCAGACCAACTACCCTCCGCGAATTAAAACAATGTGGGCGACCAATCAGTTTTAAGAAGCGAGAGAACAGGAAATGCATGGCAATTTAGGGAAGGACATCACATTTGTAATTCTACGTTTATGAGATATCACACTCTTATAATTTCATTCCCCTTTTGTAAAGAATTTTGCTTTTGCCCAACATCTACTGTCCGTCATTGTAAGTATGTATCCTGCAACGATTGGGTAATAGTCCAACGCGAGCGCAAATATATCACCAGCTTTTTGACACAGGAAATGTTCGATTTTGCTACAAGGCACAAATCTTGCTCTACTTACCTACTTACACTACTCTTGGGTTTGTTCTTAACTTAATGTGACAACTATGAAATCTACTTAAAATGTGTATCGGCAAGTGCAAATCGAAACAGACAAGCACGGGAAATACCAACTTCACGGCCAGATTTACAGGCATCAAGACCCACTCCCAGAAGAAATCAAGACCGTTAATGGTCATGTTTCATGCACTTTATGAATGTTTATAATTTTGCTAAGTTCCCGGGGCGGTACTGGGGAAAAAGCACCGTTTATTATTTCCTTAACTTCGTGCTGCATGTGAAATAGGAAACCATCTCCAAAAAAGGAATGTTACCTGGGGCTATTGACCACTGACCGAGGTCAGGCCCAAGGTATTGTAAATTCCTCGTTCATTTTTAATGGCATGGGAGGATTGCATTCTAATGTTGACCTAGCAGTACTATAAATATGCTGCATTAATAAATCTGCACACGGCAAAATAGGAATCTAGCGGTATTTTCATTAATCCTCCAGCAACCATATACCATGGAAATATTGGTCTCCAAAGTGATACCTTTTACCAGGGGTATTGTATGAACAATCTATTTGGCAGAAAACTGACTTAAACAATCTATCTTAAGGCTGTGATTACTGCTATGTGGATAAACCTATCCCATATTTCAATAGGGATATAAAATGTTTCATGTGATAATACTAGTACCAGTTTCCCATATCTATATATGCTGCCATTAATTTTTAGTGAAAACAACTAAAATGGTTTTAACTAAAGACAATATTGCTCCCTTTTTTGATTAAATTTGGAGACCTTTTATTAATGACTGTAAAAAGGCGATCTTTCACCAAGTTGCTAGTTGCTTGCCAAAATCTACAGTTTACCATGGGAACTTCCTTTTCTCAAAGTTATCCTTCGAACATGCGCTTGATTCGACCGAATCACTGTTCCCTGAAGTCAAAGGAGTCTTTTTAGAGTAATAGCCATTAATTCGGTCAAGCAATTGTCACGAATCTGTCAACTACTTAGATCCTTTTTTCGGGTTCAAGCAGATTTTCACGCGTGCGTTTTCTTGATCGGTAGAAGTTGCATGGTGTTTCAACCATTTATCAATGTTTGAATGCCAATGGTTATGACAACGTTAAAAGGTATGTGCCACAGTTGGTGGGTCATTTTATAACCGATCTGAAACTGGTTACTCATTTTCATAAGTAGCATGACTTTGGGTGCAATAGACTCCTTTGGATTTCCCCATTTTAGGAGAAATGGAAAGTGATTACGGTATGAAACGGCCCATGTAGTTTTGTGTCGAAAAGATTATCTTTTGTAGTATCATAATTTAGTAGACCGCTAAATGATGTCTATGGGATGTGCCCCCGTAACTCACCAAACAAATACAAAAATTCCTTCGAAGTTTTAGGGGCTGCTGGAGGAAGAGTTAACATCTAACGGAATAGGATTCGAAAATTATTATTCTCTCCTTTATTGTTCTTAATCCTACCAGCATTTAAATTGTTTACTTTGTGATGCATTCTTTAAAACACACAGGCAATTCAAGCACTACCTTATCTCCATTTAATAAGCAGGACGATACATGTAACTGCTTAGAAAGCTGCAGCATCAAGTCTACGTCTATAGACGCCCTCTTTCATTCGTCACTACCACCTGTGTATACGTAACGCAATCGCTTCTCATTAAACCTTTTCATTTAAAAATATTCTTTTTACCTTTCGAAACCTTGGGCGTGGGGATAAATTAATATTTCCACAAGGGCAAAATGCAAATGAAGTCCCGAATCAAACAAAAAATTCATCAAACTTATTTTTTGGGGACATTTAGAATAAATCCTTTCTTCGGGGCGATGAATTCAAACAGCGGCTTCTGTAATCAACACAAGCATTCGAAAAAAACCATCGTTCACTTCTCATTAATCTGGCCTCCAAGTGACGTGTTTAGCCTCCTCCTCTATCTTCAGGTGGTTGGTTGTCAGACGGCTTCACTAGCCCTAATTGCTCGGCTAAGTTATGTCGATGGAGGCGGAGGTGGAGGAGGTTGTTTTGAGCGGAAAAAAGCGTCTTGGGTGCGAGAGCGTGTTCGTGAGGCCCACTCTGACTGAATAAACACATGTCATCACTTATTCATGTCCCCAGTGTGCACGCATGCGTTTGTGCGTGCGCGCCCGCTGTACACTCGGACACCTCCTAGACTCCTCATTTTGGGGTGAAATATAATATTTTGCCCCCCAAGCACTCCTACAGTCAGTGGCAGTGGCCGTGGGAAGAGGAGATCGCAGCAAAAATATGCACAAAAATAAAACCTCCATGAACATGTTCTGCGGTTTGAAGAAATTGCGGGATCTTGAATCTTGTGACATCCATCCACTTCCTTTTAAGGTCACAGTCTGACGGTGTACATCTGGAATATTAAATGGATACAGTTTTGGAACATTCGAAGCAAATTTTTTGATTACGATGGTGTCCTTAATCCATCCATATTAAATGGAGGTATTCGAACTAAGGAAAGGATTAAAGTGATAATTTTACTTTAACTTGTTTACTAGCAGCGTCACATACGTGACATGAGTTTTTCATTATTTAATGGTAAATATTTGCACACATCGTGTTGAAGATATCAAAATAGATGTAGGATGTTCGTCGGTTGAGGGCAAGCACATTGCTGAGCAGCAAAAGTGGTAAAGCCGATCCGCTTAAGTGACCAACTTGGGTAGCATGAGGCGTGAAAGATGAGTGGGCACAAGAGGGAATATTGATCATGAGGAGTCGGTCTTAAATATTTATGAGTGACCAAGCGAAACCACGTTTCGGCATACAGCGGTTTTGAGTTGGATAAGTGAAAAAAGAGATTTTGTTCCTAAAAGTTAACTTTCCAACGCCCAATATTTCATGCCAGTAGATTAAGGCTTTCGGCTAAGCGAACGAAGTCAAACGTTAACAGCTGGTCACCGAGAGAACTAATGTAGATTTAAAAATGCCTTATTTTGTTTTCCCCAGTAAATAAGCACACTGGTCTGAAGAAAAGAGGAAAATATTTAACCCAAGGGTTTTGTGAGCCACTTTAGGCTTGTCTCAGAAGCCGTGACTGTCATTGTCACACGCACACAAACCGGGGAGTCACACTGCACAAAAATCCTCTCTAAAGTGACTGTAAGTGTGTGGTGTGGTATCGGTGGTGTTGCACACATTTAAACTGGAAGAAAAAGGCGTCTGTCCACAGCAGAGAGGACAATAATAAGCTTTCCTCTTCTGTTTAAGAAAATGTATTTTCCCGAGTGAGGTTGAGCGAGAGAGAGAGGAGCAAGACTTTAGCATTATCAAGACTATAATCAGTCCCCCCTCCTGCACATTGTCACCTCACCTGCCTGTGGCCTCATCAGGCCAAGGCCACATTTCATCCAATATAAATGAGGAGAACTTTGTCGAAGAGGCCACGGAAGTGGTAGACTTAGACCTAAAACTACGCAAGAATTATGTTGCAAAGTCGAGAACGTATGAGGCAGATTTTAAGGATTGAGGGATCAGCAACGTTTTGTAAATAAAAAAGAGGAGAATTATTAAGGCTACTATTACTTTGCCTACCTTGGATAACTATTCATATCAGATCTTGAAGGTCTTGTACTTGTGTATCCTGAACTGGACGGCTGTGAGCACATCAACTGGAAGATCGTGGGAATCTTACGCTGCAAACACACCTAGCTATGAGTATGTAGATCGTAACAAGTGTGGGAAAAAGGTGAAAAAATGGCCTCTTAATAACTAAATATATCAGACCATGAGGATTGATTAGATTTCTAGCTGTCCATAAAGCGGACGCCTTTACTCAAGGGGCAAGTTAAAACTGAGGTATTATGAAAGGTCCGTGAAGGAAGATCTATTTCACAGTCTCTTACAAGTTATTTCAGTTAATCATGCTAACTTTGAGCAGTGAAACCCCTAGGCAGCGAATAGAAGTCGTGTGGCACCTAAAAATTTTAACTCTCCAACTTGGCCGAGGTTAAATTCCAGCACTCTGGCTTAACAACTTCCAAATAAATGGAATCAAAGATGTTGAATTTGAGATGCGGATATTTACGGTCTTGATTTGTTGCCATTGTGTACTGAGAGACTCATGGGCATGTGTCCACTAGAGCCAGAAGCCATTGCAACTCATTTCGTTAGAACGCCTGCGTTCAGGACACACTCTCCGTTCCAATTAAGTTGGATCTTTTTCGGGCTACTTCCTGAGTGACATAGGCTCCAGTGGAGAGGCGAACGTCACCCCTTTTGTTTGGCAAATGGGATTGACCTAAACTCTGCACGCCTTTTCGCACCAGCCAGTAGGGTGGATGTCCAGTGCCCATTTTTGCATTAGATGCAAGATGACTATCTGATGGTGAGCTGCCGGCTGATCACGCTTTTGCTTTGTGCCCCAAAAAGTATTTGCGGCTGGTTTATTTAAATAACAGTTCCGACTACTGGTTTATCATTTCAATTTGGACTCAATGCCATGGCTGCTGATTACTTAACAGTGCTTGTTTGCCCAAATGGCGTTAGCAATCATTTTGTAATGCCTTAATATTGACAAGAAACCATCGGCTTGGCAGGTCGAAGGGAATGGGAGCCAGTAAGTCGAAAAAAAAGTTGCATCTAGCTCATGATTTACCTAAAGAACGAATATTCATCAGTTCTACTCCCAAGGGCATGCACGGAATAATGAGCAGTTTGAACAAAAGCACAGCGGATGATAACTTACCCGGAGCAGGTACTTCCGCAACACCATTCGGTTTAATCGCAGTTGTGTTGGTGGTCGTTGTGTTAACCGATTTCTGAGACTTTCGACTGGCCATATTATCCGTGTTTTGCCAGGGATTGTCAATAGGATTGGTAGTAGGCACAGCAGTGTCTTTGAGCCTCAGCCTTCGGTGGACGCCCCCGTGAGAGTCGTGTCGGGCGTCACGATCGAAGTCAATTGCTGAGAAGTGACGTGAACAAACACGAGAGTGTTGCGAGGGCCTGAAGTCCTTCCTCCCGCAAGCCACCACCCAAGCTGCTGTCCGTGCCAGGTCGCGTCGAGGAAAACGAAAAAAACTGAGGCCTCGACCATCGTCCGTTCGATTGTGGCAACCCGCAAAACAACATTGGGGCATCCTCATGCACCGTCTGAGAGCGCTTGGTTTGAGCAACTGTGTTGTGTGCGTTTGGGTGCGTATGAGTGTGCGCTCTTGCGTCGACCCAGGCTCTGCGTCTCTCTTCTACTGTATCTCCTTCCCTTCTTCGCCTCCGCTTCGTCCCTTTCCCCCATCTCCCCTCCACCTTCCTCGGCCCTGTCCTCTCTCTCCCTCACACGCGCACGCATGCACGCGCACTGGTCGCGAGCAAGTCCGGACACCAGTGTCGGTGGTGCGCACGTGCGTTTGCGCATCGTCTGAGGCCTGGCCACTCACAAGAGGCCAACACACAACACACACACACACGCATACACACCGCCGACAGAGTTCGCACTCCCCTTTTCTGGTTTGCTGGCAGCTCCTGATGCTGCTCTATTTACCCCACCTCCCTCCCTCTGCTGTCTATCCTTCTCCATCCCCATCTCTCTATCGAGGCCTACATGGCACTGCAATGTTGACTCATCATGGCATCGAATGTACCTCAATACCATGTGCTCCTACTTAGTGATCCCCCTTGAAAGTATTGTGGTTACCATTCGTTCTGGAGGATATTTGTCATAGAAGTGGTCAAAGGTGACATTCCTTCCCAAGCTTTCATGAGTAGTAATGAAATGACCGTTGCCGGATGTTCATGTACGTAGCGGCGCCTCAGAAGAAAAATGAGACCGCATCAAAGGTCACAAACAGTAACGATTGGTGGTAAGTGCTGTAAATGTGGGGAAGAGAGTGCAAGATAGCCCATATATGGCCATGCTAGATAATGTCGTATTTGGAGTTCCACAAATTTTACCGTAAGACGTCCTTAACGAAGCGCACGTAAAACGGAGACTTATTTGATCTCTCAGCTGACCGCTCCTCTGTTCCAAAGCATTTTTTTAAAAAAGTTTTCACTTTTTGAGCCAATTAACAAACATCCTAACGTATCGCCTGCCTGCCAGTTCCTACGATGAAAAATTAACCAGCAACTGATTATTAAGCGATTTAAGCGAGCAACTGCCTACTCAAAGCAAAACACGGCACGACCATTCAGTCTCTCAAATCAGACCCACTCCCCTATCTCCTCTTATTGAATCAAAGCACACCGAGTCACAGCCTATGCCCTTCCTTCCGCATGTGTTACGAAAGCCTTGAAACTCCGAGCTTGACTCACGCTGTGATGTTAGTCTTGAAAATAAGCCACAGAAGAACAAGCAAGCGGACCCATTGATTAATCTCCCACCTCTTTGCTGACTCAGTGCCCAATTCCCTTGGGCAATCCGCAGGGTCGTCGTATCTCACCCATTCACCCCCCTTTGAGCATTCGTCGACCCCCTCCCACCTACCCCCCTTCCTCTATCTCGCTGCCCTTCCAGCTCATGCGTGTGACCTCAGACCCAGTAATTAAGGACAGAATCGATACTACTAGTCTAACAGATCGTCCAGTGAAAATGAGGCGATGAGGTTAAACCCTCTCATGTGTAGTTGTCTCCTCGAGTTCGTGACAGCTCGCCCATGACAGACAAGTGGGGTTAAATAGCGTCGCAATTTGTGCTGGTCAACTTGTGGTCGAACTTGGCCACCCGTGCTGCTACCATTGCGGCTTTTTCCTTGGTTGAAAACGGAAACAGGTTTACAACTTCGCTGACGGAAAGTATGAAATTCATGTTTGTGGGCACGCATTATCAAAGCAGCTGATCTTTCTTACCCTTGTTGGCTGGTGGAAACATGGGTGCCTGAGATGTGATTAGAGGAGAAATAGGCTCCAGTCATCCCAACATTACTCATTTTGGTAGAGGCCTATCAGATAATTGCATGTTTTGCTCCCTTAAAACCCACCAGTTTTACTACCCTCGCCTAATTATTGTAGACAGCAGGGACACCATTTTGAAACGATTAAGTGGGAAGTGTGGACAATTCTCTTCACAAGTAGCGCAAGTTAGAAATGGTTTTAGAAAAAGCGGTTTTAAGTGTCAGTTGTCACTGTGGTAAGTATTCATTTCGCTCTATTTGTTGCTTTTGCGGTTATCCTGAAAAAGCCACCTTGATCTAAAACTAGTCAGCATGCTCACTACCAGAATCTCAGAGGCGAAACGCCAACCATAGCTCGGACGCCTTACTATTTTAATCTGAAATCAATTCGTCTTAGTTCATAATTCTTTACTAGTCTTAATCACACCCTTTTCATTTAATGCGCCGGATACGAGATAAGGTAGGGGAACTTGAGTGTCACGTATAAGTGACGCTGGCAGCGAACGTGTTCAACTGCCCAATAATCTCCGAATGATGGGCATACTTTCCATTCTATCACCCTGTACACAAAATTGCAGTTTATATTCAGAAAGGAATTCTTTTTGAGCATTAAGTCAGATGTACTGTGATTAAAGACTCACATCCTTTTATGCAGTGAACACACTAAGACTTGTTTTCAATGCCCTTTAAGGCTTAGTTTATGGCTGGTTTAGTCGATCCAGCTAGGTTTAAAATACACTTCTTAGTCCCATTATTGTATAAAATTAAATCGCGCTTGGGCCTTGGATTTAGAACTGTACTGGCCCGTTCAATCTAGAGGGTAACTGGAGAACACTTCTACGCTGTGGATGACGGACCCAGCCTCGGCAACTCAAACAGGGTCATTTGTGGAGGCAAACACAGGCCAGGTAATGTCGGGGTTGAGGTGGCACAGCACTTAGATGTGGATCATTTTGGCTTTGGAGGCAAATTAACGAGGCTTGATGCATGCAAGCGGAATTCTCATGCCCTATTAACCCTACTTCCGTCTGCACAAATGCTTTAAAGGAACTACATAGCGCCGTTTAGATGGAATCTACTAATTTTTTTCGCCTACGCCTGTTGAAAATGGAAGACTGTGAGTTAGAGTGCACGACAAGCAGGTTTGATTTTTCTGATTTAGCATTTAAGAGAGACGTTGGTCCGAACAGGCTGGCAGGTAAAGCTCGCCCCATGGGGTGGCGATTTTACAAAATCCTCGATTGTTGTTTATTACATGTTCAAGTAGCGCTAAGCCTAAAAAATTGACGATTCCTTCCCCAATTTTCCATAAATCCTTCCTAAATTGCGAAAGAAGGGTGGTTTAGAACATTGCAAAGAAATCCTTCAAATGAGACATTCATCGAAGGTACTCGAAAATAAAATCAAGTCTATTTATAAACAAATGTGCCATTTTCTTCATAGCACGGAAGTAAGGTTAATTGATGCCTTCAATTTGAACGTGATAAATAGGGAAATAACATAACTATTAGTGAATCACCAAAGTGAAATATGGATGTAACTAATCCCATCCATTAATTACCGAGTCTTGAATGAGACAACTTTGAGCTCGAAAGCATGAAATTAACAAACTGCTGTCGTTTCAAGTCCAAATGTCTTTGAGTTCTGTCACAGACTAACTGTTTTAGCCCTGAAGAAGAATGAAGTTAGTAGGGCGGCAAGAATGGTTGAGGATCCGTGCTTAAGTCATGCCGGCCGATACCCCATGCCAGTGTGAACTTCATATGGGGTGGGCGTTTTTACGGTGAGAATGCCTATGTGCATATTCCAATGGTTCCTCTCTTGCTCTTTCTACTCCTTTCTCCCTCCCACCGACAGACCTCGGTCGTAATGTCCAGCATCCTTAATTAGAGGCCCAGACCGCGGGAGAGTGGGGACCAAATGCAAGCTGAGAAAGTGGTTAAGGGGGGGGGGAGGGGAGAGGAAGATAGCGGCCACCGTAATTGGGAGACAATAGAGATGCCGCTGTTGCCGCCACTTCTCCTTCCTATGTCCTGTTTCTGTCCTCATGCCACCACCTTCGCCACATTGTTGGTTACCATAGTGAATGATTAATTAAGACCGATTTATTTAATTACGTTAGCAACACTTCAGTTCGCTCTGGTACTGGGAATGCTCGGGGTGAGAAAGGAAGGGGCTTAACGCCCAAGAGTGTCTAGAGCACCGAGACCCTTCTGATGTGGGTTGATAAAACGCGGCAGAGTAAGCGGAAGGTCTGACGTCCAAGTCATTCGTGCTAAAAAAGAGTACCATTTGTAAACCACTTTTAATTCAAATTTTAATATGGAAAAAAGTGCAAAGGCTAAACAAGCTTTCGTTAATTTCAATCAGATTGCTCAACAAACTGAAATTCCTTCATTGTGGGTTGCCCCTAGGATAATAACTCCTCACGAACCCCTCATCAACCAACTCCATTAACACTTTCGATGGCACGTTGTTCCTGCAGCCAAAAAACACCCCTGAAGGTGAACTTTTAAACTTTGTCATTGCTATCATTTCTAAAATGCAATTTTTCGATTCGCCTTAAATACTTCGATCAAAAGTTATGCTTTGTACGGAGACTACATTCTACCATACCTTTATTTCAACCCAAGGAATTAAACTGAGTGTGCTGTATTTTGGGGTCTAGAGTAATCCATTCCCATGTCCCAACTGCCTGTTAAATTAGATTCAGCCATTTCGTTCGGATGACATAGCCTTAATTCCTAATGTAAACATAACGCTAGCTACCTCAGTTTCAGCTCTGTATGCGGAGTAGTAAAGATTGGAGCTGAGATCCAAATGCACTGGTGTAGCAGACTCTGACTTGTACTAGCTGTCATTAATCAAATGAATGCCGCCTATGCGGAAAGTAGACCACGTAGAGGTAAACCTCCTGGCGATCTGCATTGGCCGCGCGTGCCTCCAGCTTGAACGCGAGCACCGGTGCGCGCGCAACTGAGCTAGCAGCAGGAGGACGCAGCGGAGGAGGGGGCGCAGGAGGAGGAGGAGGCAAAAGAAGAAGAGGCCCTGTATTGATTACACGAAGAGAGTTAGGGAGTGAGTGAGGGAGAGAGACACGCATACATGCGGTGGGCTGCCCGCCCCCTCCAGTGGAAGAGGGAAAGCGGAGGCTTGACAGAAGGAAAGGTGATCGCCTGGGCTTGTATAAGTGGGCATGCGCGCGTACATGTTAACCTACGCACGCACATACGTACACACGTGCGGAAGTGCTTCCGTGCCAGTGATTCTGTGGGCGCGTGGCGAGTGCGGTGTGGCGGAGGAGGGGGGATTAGCGGTGGCGGCAGTAGAAGCGGCCTCACGCAAACACCTCCGCCTTCGAGTTTAATCACAGACCGAAAATGAGCAGGAGAGCTTGTTCGGTCGGCCGGTGGGTTGCTTGATGGTGGACGACACAGTTCTGGTGATCTAACCTACCTCGACTCCTAAGATAATACATGCATCTGATGTTGTGTTGCGAAGCGGAAAACCATCTGATTTGTTTGGTGATCAAAAGTAGCAGTTTGCTAATTGAGGGCGTATGTAAATGGAACAAAAACTTGCTAACCTATTTTACCAACAAGTAGCAAGTGGAGAATACTGGTTCGATGTGCCAGAAAACTCTTCGAACCGACAACTGAAGTGTTACTCCGATTCAGACAAACTTAAGTCCATGATTCAATTACAAGTGGGAGAATTTGCCTTGAAATCAAATTATAAAACTACACTCTGTTTATGCCTTCTGTACCTGCAAGCATTTGTCTGATACCAAGTGTGTGTAGCTCTGTTAGTTGTGTGACGTAAAATTGTGGAGACTCATTCCAATGAATAGAGTCGTTTGAAAGCACGCAATCATAACCGCACATTTTCAAACTTGAAGATCTTCTCTCGATGACCAAAAATCATCGTATAAACTCGGCTGCCACTTAGATGGTGGTTTCAGTTTACACGGCAACTAAAGCAGAGGGGTGAATATGGGAAAGAAAGAGTATAACTTTGCAGTGTAGAGGGCAACGATCTACCAGTCTCCATGCTGGTAGCATGGAACGAAATCATTTTGTTCAGGTTACTACCCTCTTAGCTCTTCTGTGCGTTTACAACCAAGCCATTTTCATGATTGCACACATCGTAGCGTAATTGGTAATAACTAAAGAAAGGATAAGTGCGATGATGCTGAATCATTCAGTGCTATAATGCACCACAACCAGGTTACTCAACATTACATAAAGTGGAATCAGCTAATTATAAGAATGCCATTGCTATTTTATTTCTGATTTGTCCGTGAAGCTGTGCTGATATTTCTCTGCCTGAGTGAATGTATACAAAGTCAGATTTGATAGTTAAACACTGCTCTCTTCGATGGACATCCTGTATCTGCGCTTCATTTCGAATCTTCCGCAATTAATTTCATATCGCTCCAGCATATGCATGGTTAAAGAGGACTGCATTCATCAAGCCCCCGCTTCCAGAATTCCATGATCAGGTGTTGAAATAGATGACTATGCATGCATGCATCGAGGGCTTTTTGTGGTAGATGAGAGTACATTCCAGGCACCAGGCATCAGTAGTGGTGAACTGGCTATCCATCCATCCAACTGAAGTGAGAGCAGGGGAAAAAGCGCCCACGCGTACGTACGCAACTCGAGAAGGCATAACCGAGAGCGGGAGCAGGCGGAGGAAGGCGGTGAGCGAGAGGCCCTATCGATCGATTGACCGATTTCGAGGCGCGAGCGCGCGAGTCTGATGCGCACGTGCGACCGAGTTGTGGTCGGTCTGTGGGTAGGCGCGTGCGAGCGCTCTCACACACCTCCGCACACGTGACACGCGCCAGTCAGACAGGCAGGCAGTAGAAATGAGTAGAAACGAGGCCATAGGAGCGGCATCTCTGTTTCGAGCATGACCAAGGGAAAGGGCGACGGTGGTGGCAGTGGAGTGGGGCAAGCAGAGAGCCTGCTGGACCCAGGCACTGTGTGCACGTGTGCGTGTGTGTGTGCATGAGTTCCTTAGGGAACAGGCCTGTGCATGCCATTACTCACGCGCATTGGCAGTAAAATTGAAGCTGACACTTTGCCAGCCCGGGTTAGTTTAGGTGGTGTATTTAACGTAGCCCCTTATCAAAAAGTACTCACTGTGGGTTGCAGATAGAATATCGGGTCAATAACTAAACAAAGTAAGATTGCGGCATTCCTGAAGGACACAGTGATGGATGGGAATCTGAAAGTACTTCACTACAAGCGCACAGAAGGGCCGAGAGAATGGTAGCAGTTGTGACAATCGGAACCTCAAATGCGATCATAAGAGGCTACTATGCTAGTTTGCCCCGCATAAGTTGCTTTAAGTAGCCACTCATTCGCAGGTAAAATGGCATTATTTCTAAATCATTCCAGCTGATGCCACGGCTTTGAGAAATCACTGCACTGCTCCAGTAGACAATGTTTGAAATCATCTGACGGCAATTGTCTTGAAATCGTAAATTAGAACCGCATATGCTATAAACACTATAATCTGCTGACTGGGAAAGGGCACCTAATGGGGATTCAGCAGTTCATTGCTTACAATGTAGTCTTGCTTTGAGGTAATTTTATTCTTTATTCCCATTGTTGGAGTGCAAGCGGGCAAACTTGGATCTCATGGGCTTTCCTTTTTTTACTTAAAAAGTGTAACTCTTCCGGTAAACTCAACTGTCAACTGTTATTGCGCCAGTCCCCCTTTCTTTACACGTGTATGTGTGCGTATGTACGCGCTTTGGTCAAAAAGATTGAAAAGGTGCTCTAAAGTTAAACCATTAGCTTCCTCTCTCTCCTTCTTTCCCTCCCTCTCTCGCTCACTCCTTATTTGCGGTTAGTGACAAGCCCACTTGCCCGTTGTCTGGCCCTCACCACCACCACTAGGCCTGTGGGCTTAGGAAACGTTAGGTGCTAGCGTGCATGCCTACTGTCATAAACACACACACTGGCACAAAACCTGCCTGCCACCTGTCATCCCCCACGTGGTCGGTCTGTTAGGGCCCAGTGGGACTGGCCAAAATAGGGAGAGGGGAGAGGAAGAGGCGGGTTAGGCTAGAGGAGGAAGGAATGGAGAGGAGAGCCAAAAACCATACATCGTCCACTCCATTGGTGATTAGATAAGTGACTGTACGCGTGTGTGTGTAAAGCCGACTATTTGTGCCTAGTTGCACCTACAAGAAAGTTGTCACAAACCACCTCCTTTCTTCCTCCGTAATACCGACAGTAAGCCTACTAATTAGCTTTGTGAATTTCTGAGTTTATTTGTGTACCTGCGCGTGCGGCAGTGAAATTAGCACCTTCCCACCCATTATTCGCAAACAGTGCTACGTTTCTAGGCTTCCTCAGACTAAATAATTGCCTGTGGCAAAAGGGGTGGAAAGGATTAGAAGCTTCAATGCGATGATTTGGCGCCTTCAGTAAGTCATATAATTCAAGAGTCTAACCACCCCTTTGCCACCTAAAAGTAGAATATGCTAAATCCAAGGAAGAAACGCACAGATTTTTGAGCTCGAACTTAATTCGAATATAGCGAGGGAAAATCCACGATTTTCTCTATTTAGTTTAAGCCAGAAAACAATGTTTTTCCTTCTCAAACGTGGTCTGTGGCAAGAAAAAACCAATTTTAAACCTTTTGCATGCAACTCGCTACCAACTAATTTGTGTCATCATGTCGTAAACTCTTCTCTAAGACTCGAAAACATCCTTGAAGAGGAGGATTACGTCCACCTAACTCCCCAGTTCGGTTTGTGCGAATTTCCATCCTTTACGCTTGACGAAGTCTCATAGTCAAGTAGATTGGATAAGCTCTCCCAAGTCTCCTCCACGGGCCCAGACACTCGTGGTGCCGCAGTTGTACACAGTGACCGCTACTTCTCCAATCTGCCTCATCTAGTAGCGTGTTCTATAGGCACTAAGGATTGTGCAATTTGGATGCTAACGTCTTCCTCAGGGTTTTTCAAAGCGCCTGTTAAAAACGTTTACGTAAAATTTGTTTCATGACTCCACCGTTAGCAGTTATGAGCCAGTTAATTGACAGAGAGAAGCGGACGTTAAAATAGTAATGGTACGGTGATCAAAAAGCGATTTGTTCTGTCCAAAAGGTCTTTGTGACGCAAAACATCAGAATGCGTTAGTCAAGCTACAACCAATGACAAAGTAATCCTGTGCTTAAAATGCCTCAACTTGGAAATGGGGATAAGCTGCTGGTACACGGATTGCTGCCGAAACGCCGTTGAGATTCCAACACTAGAGCTCAGGTTTGCTGTTTAAAGGGCAAATTTTTGATCCTTTTTTAACGTGAAATCTGCAAAGGATTAGGAAAAGTAAATTTAAAATATGTAATGAGGGTTGGAATATCATTAAGGTGAACGCTTTAGGGCGTTGAATATTCAGTCTAACAGGGAGAAAAGAAAGTAAACTTGCGTTTTGTTTAGTCATTTCTAATGCCCCCAGAGTGAGTTACTAAATCCACTCATTTATTTGTAACAATTTGATTGTTTGTTTCACATTTTGTTTTGGTTACGCGGACACTGAAGGGCACGACCACTGTACTTCTGCTCGGCGGCACGGTCTCCTGGCCACGATGGAATAACTCGGGGCGCTACATTGGTGAAAACAGAAAGCGAACTCGATCTTAAAGGACAGCTACCATAATTTCTTTTACTGGATGATAAATCACAACTTGACGGAAGAAGGGCATGTACTGCGGATGGGAGAATTTGTGACCACCCCTAGAAAAGGGTTGCAAATGACGTCTACCTTCGGCTACTACCCGAGTCCCGTGTTCTAGAGAACTGCTACATCCAGCTAAAGCAATACTAATCGTGGTCATGAATTATCAGGAGAAGATCGTTTCGGAGCTGTCTACGTTACTCGTATGAAGACGTCAACTAAGTGAACACATGATACCTCCTTCACCTCCCTACTAGCTGGATGGAATCCAGATAGCTAACTATGAGTGGGAAGCATTGAAGTGAGAACAAAGTGACAAGGAGAAAATAGACACAAAATCTTGTCCCACGAAACTATTTTAACCTCCACCCTATATGAAATGGCTGTGCTCTTAGGCCAGTGTTCTTACAACTAGCGGTGAACATACAAGAAGGCAGCACATTCTCCATTTTCCCAATGGAGTTCTTAAAATGGACAAAACTCTTGATGCAGTGGAACTTGCCAAGAGGGATCAGTGATGCTGCAGTCAGATACCGTCCTAGTTGCAAGCAAGTTAGACAAATGGGACTGTTAGTTTGTGGGCATGCGTTGTGCAGCACCGACTACGTTGTAATGGCCGACGCGGGTGGTTGACCACAGGGAGTGCCGGAGACGAAACTCGAAAGGAGAGTTGGGCTATGTAGTACTTTATAATTATTTTTTTAAAAATTTTTGCTATGGCTTCACGAGCACCCAAGGCTCGCCTTTGTACTTCTGCTGTGGCATGGCCACCGGGCCATACCAGTAGCTCACCTCCCCCACAGCCCATCTGTACGTCTGTAATACATATTCTACCCAAGTATTATACCTCCTTTCGTCTTCGGGTAAGACTCGGGGCACTATATGCTAACTAAACGAATTACTCACTTTCATTTTTTGCCTTTTCGGTATTATTCTGTTTAATCTTATGTAATTCACTACTTTACTCAATAAAATACGCTTTGAAGTAGTCTGTCAATGATTAATTTACAATAGAATCAAGCTGTTTTCGGTCATAAATATTCATCGTATCAATACCTTTCGATTTTACCCCATGAATTCAACTGCGTTCTTATCAAAACAACTTGTCAATGACCCTCAAAACGATTGACCTACGCAGTCGTTAAGTTGGTGTTTGGGGTCCACCAACAACAGTGCGGGGTAGAACTACTGGGAGAGACGGAACAAATGGCAGTCTGTTAAACTTTTACACAGTTTAAATTGCTGCATAATTTTTCACAGTCATTTGCTCTAAGAGATCCGCAATCAGTTAACCTTAAGGGATGGATTTTCAAAAGGTGCCACGCCTGATTTCTACCTCAAGCATTCATGCTTCACATTCAAATAAGGTTATTATCCGAAAAATCTGACAGTTATAATTGTGAAATATCCAAAATAGAGGAAAACTATCACGTCTTTCGAGAACATATATTTAAAATAGGATTCTACTTTTAGGGGTTACTGTTGAGTTGTTCTTAGTAATGAATAGTGTAGAACAGACAGACTACTGATTTGTAGCTAGGAGTAAATGTGTAAGTAGAAACGGGTTAGCTTTGGACTACCATACGACATTCAAAAGTTTCCCCCTGCAATTACACTTTTCTCCATTTTTAAATTGTATTTTAAACCACGAGGGTCCGTCCTTCCGCACCAATGAGACCGTTGGAATGCCTTTTTCCTCTCCCTAGTTAAATTATTTTAGTCTCTTTATTAGTTCCGATAAGGTTATAAACTTGTAGTTTCCAATGCCCTTTAATAGAATTACTATATAAACAACACTTTCAAAATTGGCACTGTTTTCTTGAAAATTGGAAGGATCAGTGGTGGGAAAAGGAGGAACCAGATTGTGGCAGAAATTAAAGTAAATCTTTTCTTAATTACGCAAAAGATTTAATTAGTGGGTATGCATAAATCTTCATGGAGGAGCAAAAGTGCGTGTGTGGCGCGCAATTTCAGCGAATAAGGTCATCTTCAGAGAGGTGTATATTACATCGACTTGTTGTTGAATGGCTGCCAACAGTTGAGGAGTCGACAAGACCTCGATCTTTGCAGCTCGAGTCAGTTAGCCTGTGACAATTTTGACGACTTAGCGATTTTTAGGGCAAGACTATTTCAACTTCACGTGCTTCTCCTTCTTCTCAAAGTGTATGTCACATGAAAGTCATGCTCAGACATTATGGTTACTGTAGTATCCGCGTCTTTTCACAAGCTTTAGTTTGATCCAGAATTTACCTTGACTCAGTACAACTTCAGGTCTGTGTATCAAGGAGGATTCTCAATGAACCCGCGGATGTGTATTTGTCGTGTGATTGGTGGCTACCTCCTAACCTCGATACACGAATTCAGTGTGTCAACACCCCTACTTTTGATCTTTGGTGGTGCCTCTGCTTGAGTATAGTCCCTTTGCCAAATCTGCTTGAATCCTGAGACCAGACGAACTGTTGGCTCAAGAACCGCCAGGTGAAAGTGAAGTACTTTAACTTGCCATCAGACTGAGCGAGGATTTGGACGAGTTTTTATTTCATAAACCACCAGCTCGTAAAATGAGGCAACAACATTTGAGACCTTCGTAACAGAACTTAATGTCACCAAGTTAATGATGACGTCTGGCGCCTGTTTGCTGAACAATATTACCATTTTAGCCTTAAAAGTTGACTCTGTATTTCCTAACTGATCCTTTTGAAACGCCAACAATTTCATCTTCTTCCTGGTTTTGGAATGAAATTCATGAGTATTTCATGTTCTTTTGATTCAAAGCCTAAAGACGTTGAAAGTGAAATGCGGATAGAAGTACGCAGACAAGGGCAAGTTGTGCTGAACATCTGCTGGTGTGAGGTTTTCTGTAGCCCAAACCAAAAGCCCTCTTGCCCCTTACACAGTCTACTGCCTAACGGCCTAGGCCGTTGTTACCTATCCTAATTACGGAGAAAAAAAACACGTTTTGCTTTCCGTTTGTTGGCAGTTGATTTTAGACTTTATTGACATAGGCATAACATTCGCCCATTGATGAGCACTAGCAATAGCAAATAAAACGACAGAACGCCTCCGATAGTGTTAATGCTGGTGCCACATCGAGTTGAGACGACATTTTTCGCAGAGTTTAGTGTAAAACAAGCATATAGACACAACAACAACACCATGCACGTTCGATGGTAACCCTAATGGCAAGGTAAGGTCAGTCGCTCATGGGGTGCTTCACATAGTGTTTTTTACTTGCATCCTCAGCCACATACCATCCTTATTATTCCACTTGGAGTAAAATTGGAGTTTGTTGGGTACAAGACAACACATGCATGTCTTAGGATATCTCAAAAACGTACCCATCTCCTTCTAAACGTTTCTGATAGTCTAAATGAAGTGTGTCCTTTGAATCTTGTATCAATGTGAAATTCCTGGTGAAGGACCTGAACTGGCAGTGGTGTGTGTCCACAGTCACTACATCCTACTTCACTGTGTAGTATCCACGATCTGGAGCAGAGAAGAGAAGAAAAGGGAGCAGAATAGGAGAGAGAAAAGCGATAAGTCTAAATCCACGCCATGACTGGTCCACAAGGCGGGGTTGGGGGGGGGGGGGAAAGAAGAAGAGGGGGACTGTGTTGCATTGCATGACTTGGTAGGTCTCTTGACTAAGGCTGTGATTATGCGATAACCAGGGGCATGCACACACCCAGTGGTAGGCATATGAGCATGTCAACAACTGCACAACACGAATCGGGGCGAGCCAAAACCCTCGATCAAGTAATCCACCTGTCTACCCTGACGACTCATTTGTGTCATGGGACTTTGCATACTCATTGCTAGTTGGATTGGCGAGGAACAACTTGATGTGGGTGAGTAACAAGTAGTAAATGTTAATGAAGTTGTTTATCAACAGCGACTCCACAAATGTGCCAGTTGTTTTCTGTGAAGCGTTCGCATGCATCGTATTGTCGGGCATGGAATGAGGGTAGTACGGGCTTGTTGAATGTTGTGTTTCAGCTAACGCTCTTCAACACTACAACTCTGCGTAAAGACTTTTCATCCAGCAGTGTCAACTTCACCTTTGCACTGCCATGGCGGTTGGCGCGACGAACTTGTTCTGACCGGTCAGACCTTTTGATAAAGGTACAATACAAAAATACGAGCCAAATAAACAGTAACCAATGTGGTTTTAGCTCTGTAAGTAGGTGATAGATGTCAGCAGCGGAGTTTCTATTCGCCATATTGCCCAACCATCTTACAGAACCAAAGCAGGTTGGTTAATTGATAAAAGATAGTATGACATTCTATGAAATGTTGGAAGTCGAATTAATGAGACTGGTCCCGTCACTGGATCAAAGGATATAATAGTACCAACTAGTATGTCATTTGGTGTTTGGTGACTTTAACTGACATGTTAGGTAGTGAAAAGAAAAGGTGATCCTTCGAATAAATCGTAGCCAAGTTGAATGAAAAACGAGGGTTGGTTCCACCATTTGCAGTTGTAGCATGACAAAAAGATGCCGTAACTCCAATAACCCCATCGCTTAATAGGCCCGATCAATCGGTAACAGAAATTCCATCTGTGAATTGCCTCTGCCGTTGCATGAGGATATTATGACTACGTAACGAGAGGATCTCAAAACGCGCACCGTGGAGAGCTACCTTGGCTAAGAAGGTCTGACAAAGACCAAAAATGAACTATCGAATGAATAGAGGACCTTAAAAATTTACCAGAACGGTCCTCCGGAACTAACCACATGGCAGACACTCCTCTTGTCGTGCCTTTTGGATAAGTTGCGATAAAAACGTCGACGGTTCCTCAATCATTTAGATGTGATAAACTAAGGTAAGATCCTTAACAGTCGGAGAAATTGTTGATAGAAGGACACTGTAGTAAAGGGCTGCTTCGGATTTAATTCTGACATCTGGTGGAATCCTTTCAAATGCTGTTTGATTGCATAACTAAGGAAATAGTAAAGGATCCACCCCTATTAGAATACGTAACTTTATTCAAGGCTTCAATTCTCGACGTCATTTACTTTTGGCGCCGAGAGTTTATAGCTAAACGCCAAAATTTAAGTTGCAACTCTCTGCTGAAATACCCGGGGCCTGTTGGGAGGTCCACACAAATTGTAATGGCGTCTCAAAGTAGGATTCTGGACCTGAGCATTCAAAATAACACGGGTTTCAAAGTAAATCAGAATGCAAACACAGGCGTCGACCTGTGCCTGAGTTGGGCTGATATTCCCAGAAGGATGTGCTCACAACTTGAAAGGAAATTGCCGGTAAAGAACCTTCCAGATTATGCATTTCCAGAGCGTCCTATATGGTGTAAAATGAACTGACGGACGCGGTGGCGATCCGATCTGCCCTGATTAATGGAGCCTTCACCGAGTAGACTACACGCACTTTCTCATCTCGACTTGGTCAACCTCAGATCTCGCCAAGATACGATTTAAATCACTGCTTCCCCGTCCTCTCTCAACCCCACTGATGCATGCAGAGTTGGTATTGTGGACTGAATAATATTTCACGGCTTAAAGTGCTCCCTCTCGCAGTAAGCTTGTCAAGAGGGGCAGCTTTAAATAGCAACTTTTCTAGTGACTGTGCGAATTATGGGGTGTGGAAACAACTACTAGGAGGACGAGGGGATGGAGAAGGAGATTGGAGGTGACTTTTTACCTCGTAAACTAAAGAAAGCTATAAATCATCTCTTCGTGTACGAAAAAAATAAATGCACACCAGGTTGAGAAAAATGCGTACGTACTTGCTCTGTTGCAGGGTCTTTTCTACCCACCTTTTCCGCGCTCGCATGCACGTGCATACGGCCACAGCATCCGTCAAAACTCATTTATCATCAAATTAAGTTCGCTTTGACATGAACCCTCTGAAATCGGATCCTGCACCCCTTCCCCGAGCCACGTCGGTGGAAATCACAGTGATTCACCAAAACGAAGACAAATAGACAAAAAGTCACCCTTAACCTCCCATTAATCCGCTCGCTTTACAACAATTTCACCTCCAGCAAACAATGCACACGCGTCGCTACAAACCCAGCTCACAGCTCCGTGGAGTCGCAATCACCAGTGTGGAGGGCCCACGTCACTTCGCGGCTTGCAAGCAGAACATAAAATCCAATCGACCAGACGCACGAGGCGACTTCGGACAATGGGCAACGCTAAAATCACAAACAACCGACAACCCCTCCCCCTCCTGCAAACGAAATCCCCATTACTTTATGAAGTTAGAGAATGCTCGAGCAGACGCTCTGGATTTGCGATCAAACGCAAAAAAAGGGACCAAAACGGTTAAGTTTTGGAGTTCAACGATTGAGGAAGAGAGCAAGGGACTTTACAGTGTTGGGTTTATATTTATATACTTAATGGTGGGGGAAAAAAGGATAGAATAGTGTAAACAATAGGAGTCCGACAAAGGTGCGCACGCAAGTTGTAGTAAAATCAGCAAACCATGTGTGTGACGAGGAGTATGGGGGGAGGGATGAGAAAAAACATATTTCAAATTTAGCATGTGTGTAGATGTGTATGAGGATATTTGTGTGTACAGAGATTGATGATATATAGATACAATGAAGTGTGCGTGCGAGCGCAGCTACCTTCCTTACTTGCTTTCGGGTTGACAGCAGTACACGTGAACGAGGTAACTGAAGGAGCGTGGTGTACCTGGTGTGGATAGAGGAGAGTGAGCACTACTTCTTCCCGGGAACAGAGCCCCCACTGCCAGCAGCACCACCGAGGCCCGAGGCTGCCCAGAGCTGCATGAGGTTGAAGTAAGCGGAGGGATTGCTTTGGATCTGGCTGAGGAAGTGCGTGAGCACGGCGTTCTGCTGAGCGGCATGAGCCGCAGCTGCCTGGGCCGCCGCTTGCTGCTGGGCTTGCTGTTGTTGCTGCTGCAGCACGAGATACTGCATCGCTTGCTGAAGCAACTGCGCACGCGAATTTGCGTTCTGAGCCCCGCTCGCTAGCAGAGATGCGCAAGCATAGATGTAAAGGTTACTGAAAGAAAGCCCTCGTGCTTCTGACTTCAAATGGTGCTCAACCCTTTTTGTTAAACGGCACACTAGATACCTCCTTCATAGGATGTAAAAAGCAGATAGTTCCTTTACATTCAGTGATTAATTCCTAATCAAAAATACACTAATGCCCCACTTTTGGCAAATGCGCATTATACAGAAAACGTGTACGATCCTAAGCCTAATTAATAAATAAGTTCAGAAAAGCGCAATTAATAGTACAGCTAACAAAGTGATGTTTTTTACGGTCAAAATCTAAGGTCACAAAATGCTGTGAAAAACAACGAGAGTAAATCACACCAAGCAATCGTCGAGTAAGTGGAGCAACAAGTTGTCCGTGAACGAACTCATCTGTGGCTTTGTAGAATGAGACGAATGAACTGTAAGCTCACTTATTTCAAATAAGTTGAAACCGTGGGACTGACACTTACGAATTCCGCCACAGTTTAGGGATGTTAAGTGGACGGACTATGCGAATAGTTTAGCACTATCCCCTGGCTAGACCAGGACTCCCGAAGGAATCGACATCATTAAAAAAGCGTACCTTTAAGAGCTTGCATCCAAGATATTAAAATAAACGTCGCGATTTAAAGGTCAAATCTAACCACAATGTTAGAGGGTCAAGCGAGATCATTTGCAAAGGACCGGCCCTGCCCCATCACCAAGGCGATGGGGGTAGATTAACGCTGGCCTAAAATTAAGCATTTCGAAACTGCAAACACTGTCAACGAGCTAGACATCTGATATTAGGCGCCTTGAAAATTGGATCTAACCGACATGAGGTACGACGCGGGTTTTACAAGCGTCTTCACGATGGGGGGAGGGGGAAATGTGCCAAAGTTCGGACACAGAGCCAAGAGTATCACAAGCCTAGCCCACTCACGCATACGCACAAACACAAAAGTAGGCAAGCGCAAAAAAAAAACGCTAAATTGTCTGGGCTTGAAGCTGCGCATATGCACATGCCGTCATCAATCAAGCAACCAATGAGAGCTCGCCTTTCCCTGTCACTATGCTAGCAAATCGATGCCCCTCTTACGTTCCCTCATTCTCACAGGGTTGCCCTATGAAATTTCTTGAAAAAAATAGACGTATGTAGAGGTCGAAATTGAGACTCCGAACAAAGTGGTATGCACGCCAGGTGGACAAGAGGGCGAACCACATCTGTCACAAGAAATATCGCGGCATTCAGAAAAGAGGAAGTCCAGAACACAAATAGTAAAAGCCACCACTACTTGAAACTAACTGCCCCATATCGGGAAGACTTTTGTCACCATCATTTGAAAACTTCCACGTCCCAGGTAGCCGAGGCCTTCCCCCTTTCCTTCACTGTAGAAAGGGAGAGGTGTTTCAAACCCAAAAAATCTAACTAAAGGATTTGGGCACGCACGCACACACCGACAGCAGAGAGATGCGCAAGGAGATGCACTGCTAGGGGTCTGATCCAGAGCACACCCGCCGCAATTGCTGATCGATCCAGCTGGAACGTACCTCCACTGATGAGAGCGTTGCTCATGAGGAGAGTCTGAATCTGACTGAGGGCGTTAGCGGTGTGATCAGTGGTCGTTGGCGCAGAGGCAACAGCGACAGCCTGTTGCTGATGCGCTTGAAGGCCGGAAAGGAGCTGCGCGGCTGCCAGGCGCTGTTGTTGTTGTTGTTGCTGCAAAGCGGCGGCCGCAACTGCCTGTTGCTGCTGCTGCGAGTTGGCCACCGCAGCCATCATCAGCGCAGCTGTGGCCGTGGGTGAAGCCGCAGAAGTGGTAGAGGCTCCAGACATGGCTTTCGCGTACTGCTGAAGGGCTATCTGAGCGACTGCAGCTGCCTGGGCGGTAGCCTGAGCGGAGGAGTTGGAGACTGTCGCAGAACCAGCAACATTCGCAGCGCCACTGACCACTGAGGCGGCGACACGTGAACGCTGATGCGCGGCGGCTGCCACAGAAGTACCGCCCACGACTGTGGAGGGGGACTGACGAAGACCTGAGGCCGTTGTGCTCACAGATGACTACGTAAAGTGGCACGAAACACTTGTTACAAAAACTAATTGAAGTCTCAACACACGATAAAAAAACGACAATACAATCGTCAAAAGCTCCGATGCATGCAAAACAGACTCCACACATTGTAACTTGGCAGAGTTAGCAATGTATACCAAAATTTGCCTCATACAATACAAAGTAAGGGATGACTGTAAACTACCAAGCCAACACAAAAATCCATTAAAGTCAAAAAATTAAATGTTGGCAATCCTCGTGACTGACGAATTACTGATCGAATGGCCCAGTCGCAAGTGAAAATTTCAACTTGGATAGAAATAAGTCGCACTAAAAATAAGTTACAAATACCTTATTATTGTACCGCTGACTGTAAGCTGCCTGCTGTTGAGCAAGTTGTAGCTGATGCGCTTGCTGAGTGGCCAATAGCTTTTTCTCCTGCTCCTTTATGTACACATCCAACTTGGTCGAATTGGTGACAATGTCCTGGTATTCCCGTTCCACTTCGCGTTCCGCACTAATGTGAAGCTGCAGAACCTTTTGCACAGCCTCTTCGTACTCCTTCTTCAGGGTTAGCCTCTGAGTCGCCGTCAGACAGGCCTCGCATACTACATGCGTGGAGCCAGGTTTCTCCCGTTTCCAAACGGGAGTAAAATCAGTGCCACACTTCACACACGAGAAAGGGTTAAAACTGCAGCGTGTTTCCGATGACTTTCCGTTGCCTGATGGATCATAATCCTACATAAGAAATCGGTAGTTGAATGACAGCCAAAACACGATGACTTCTTGAAAAGTGACAATTACCTGGATCGACTTAACAACCTCCTCAAGACCCAATAAAGATGTGAATTCCGTTGTGAGCGTGCTAGGTATGAAAGCGATTTCGCAGAACCCGGTTCCAGTCGTTGGTCGTGGAAGGCTGACTTTTTCCAAATTCCGTTCCAATTGCTTTCGCAGACCTGCCTTCTTAGTGGCATAAAGCTGCTCCAGTGATTGCAAAGCTGCTTGTTTTGTAACTTTAGGCGTGGAAATGGGGGAGCCCGGCTGGTGTGCAGCTGGAGGCAGAGCTAAAGGAAGTGTGCTTACAGAACAAAATAGTACTTTTCGTTGCCTGTGCAGCCGAGGGTAACCTTTGGGAAGAAGTTTGACTAGAGGTCGGTTTCTGATTACTCGTGCTGACATTGTTGTTCAAAGAAGACGAAGATTGCGAAGAATTAAGCGTAGCCTTGGACACTGGGCGGGAGCTAGATGAATTATTTGAGTTCTGGCTTTCACGCAGTTTTTGAAGAAGCAAAAGAGTGGCCTCCTCTTGACGAAGATCATTTTCCAAAGATATCAATAAGGATTTGACGTCTGTCCCATTGGTTCCGCAAGGGGCGTTTTCCTTTTCAGTATCCGAACTTGAAGGCGTCACTTTCTCATCCTCATCCTCGCTTAGAACAATAACATCGGAAGAGCTCTAAATTGTTGATAGCCTTTAATAAGAAACCCACTTTAGGTAGATCCATTGTAGTCTTGTGACTTAAGTCGAGGGCATCAGCTACAGTTTTAGGTCTACGAAAGGAATGATTTAGAAATTAAAGCATACCGTTTCGCGGGAGTACACATGGGAATTTGTTCTTCTGGAGATTCCTTTAAAACTGTAAGAAAGTAATAGCCAATTAACGACAAACTGCTAAGCTGGATACAGCACAGAATGCCAATACAACGAACCAGTAGAAAACGGGCGTATGTCAGACCAACTACCCTCCGCGAATTAAAACAATGTGGGCGACCAATCAGTTTTAAGAAGCGAGAGAACAGGAAATGCATGGCAATTTAGGGAAGGACATCACATTTGTAATTCTACGTTTATGAGATATCACACTCTTATAATTTCATTCCCCTTTTGTAAAGAATTTTGCTTTTGCCCAACATCTACTGTCCGTCATTGTAAGTATGTATCCTGCAACGATTGGGTAATAGTCCAACGCGAGCGCAAATATATCACCAGCTTTTTGACACAGGAAATGTTCGATTTTGCTACAAGGCACAAATCTTGCTCTACTTACCTACTTACACTACTCTTGGGTTTGTTCTTAACTTAATGTGACAACTATGAAATCTACTTAAAATGTGTATCGGCAAGTGCAAATCGAAACAGACAAGCACGGGAAATACCAACTTCACGGCCAGATTTACAGGCATCAAGACCCACTCCCAGAAGAAATCAAGACCGTTAATGGTCATGTTTCATGCACTTTATGAATGTTTATAATTTTGCTAAGTTCCCGGGGCGGTACTGGGGAAAAAGCACCGTTTATTATTTCCTTAACTTCGTGCTGCATGTGAAATAGGAAACCATCTCCAAAAAAGGAATGTTACCTGGGGCTATTGACCACTGACCGAGGTCAGGCCCAAGGTATTGTAAATTCCTCGTTCATTTTTAATGGCATGGGAGGATTGCATTCTAATGTTGACCTAGCAGTACTATAAATATGCTGCATTAATAAATCTGCACACGGCAAAATAGGAATCTAGCGGTATTTTCATTAATCCTCCAGCAACCATATACCATGGAAATATTGGTCTCCAAAGTGATACCTTTTACCAGGGGTATTGTATGAACAATCTATTTGGCAGAAAACTGACTTAAACAATCTATCTTAAGGCTGTGATTACTGCTATGTGGATAAACCTATCCCATATTTCAATAGGGATATAAAATGTTTCATGTGATAATACTAGTACCAGTTTCCCATATCTATATATGCTGCCATTAATTTTTAGTGAAAACAACTAAAATGGTTTTAACTAAAGACAATATTGCTCCCTTTTTTGATTAAATTTGGAGACCTTTTATTAATGACTGTAAAAAGGCGATCTTTCACCAAGTTGCTAGTTGCTTGCCAAAATCTACAGTTTACCATGGGAACTTCCTTTTCTCAAAGTTATCCTTCGAACATGCGCTTGATTCGACCGAATCACTGTTCCCTGAAGTCAAAGGAGTCTTTTTAGAGTAATAGCCATTAATTCGGTCAAGCAATTGTCACGAATCTGTCAACTACTTAGATCCTTTTTTCGGGTTCAAGCAGATTTTCACGCGTGCGTTTTCTTGATCGGTAGAAGTTGCATGGTGTTTCAACCATTTATCAATGTTTGAATGCCAATGGTTATGACAACGTTAAAAGGTATGTGCCACAGTTGGTGGGTCATTTTATAACCGATCTGAAACTGGTTACTCATTTTCATAAGTAGCATGACTTTGGGTGCAATAGACTCCTTTGGATTTCCCCATTTTAGGAGAAATGGAAAGTGATTACGGTATGAAACGGCCCATGTAGTTTTGTGTCGAAAAGATTATCTTTTGTAGTATCATAATTTAGTAGACCGCTAAATGATGTCTATGGGATGTGCCCCCGTAACTCACCAAACAAATACAAAAATTCCTTCGAAGTTTTAGGGGCTGCTGGAGGAAGAGTTAACATCTAACGGAATAGGATTCGAAAATTATTATTCTCTCCTTTATTGTTCTTAATCCTACCAGCATTTAAATTGTTTACTTTGTGATGCATTCTTTAAAACACACAGGCAATTCAAGCACTACCTTATCTCCATTTAATAAGCAGGACGATACATGTAACTGCTTAGAAAGCTGCAGCATCAAGTCTACGTCTATAGACGCCCTCTTTCATTCGTCACTACCACCTGTGTATACGTAACGCAATCGCTTCTCATTAAACCTTTTCATTTAAAAATATTCTTTTTACCTTTCGAAACCTTGGGCGTGGGGATAAATTAATATTTCCACAAGGGCAAAATGCAAATGAAGTCCCGAATCAAACAAAAAATTCATCAAACTTATTTTTTGGGGACATTTAGAATAAATCCTTTCTTCGGGGCGATGAATTCAAACAGCGGCTTCTGTAATCAACACAAGCATTCGAAAAAAACCATCGTTCACTTCTCATTAATCTGGCCTCCAAGTGACGTGTTTAGCCTCCTCCTCTATCTTCAGGTGGTTGGTTGTCAGACGGCTTCACTAGCCCTAATTGCTCGGCTAAGTTATGTCGATGGAGGCGGAGGTGGAGGAGGTTGTTTTGAGCGGAAAAAAGCGTCTTGGGTGCGAGAGCGTGTTCGTGAGGCCCACTCTGACTGAATAAACACATGTCATCACTTATTCATGTCCCCAGTGTGCACGCATGCGTTTGTGCGTGCGCGCCCGCTGTACACTCGGACACCTCCTAGACTCCTCATTTTGGGGTGAAATATAATATTTTGCCCCCCAAGCACTCCTACAGTCAGTGGCAGTGGCCGTGGGAAGAGGAGATCGCAGCAAAAATATGCACAAAAATAAAACCTCCATGAACATGTTCTGCGGTTTGAAGAAATTGCGGGATCTTGAATCTTGTGACATCCATCCACTTCCTTTTAAGGTCACAGTCTGACGGTGTACATCTGGAATATTAAATGGATACAGTTTTGGAACATTCGAAGCAAATTTTTTGATTACGATGGTGTCCTTAATCCATCCATATTAAATGGAGGTATTCGAACTAAGGAAAGGATTAAAGTGATAATTTTACTTTAACTTGTTTACTAGCAGCGTCACATACGTGACATGAGTTTTTCATTATTTAATGGTAAATATTTGCACACATCGTGTTGAAGATATCAAAATAGATGTAGGATGTTCGTCGGTTGAGGGCAAGCACATTGCTGAGCAGCAAAAGTGGTAAAGCCGATCCGCTTAAGTGACCAACTTGGGTAGCATGAGGCGTGAAAGATGAGTGGGCACAAGAGGGAATATTGATCATGAGGAGTCGGTCTTAAATATTTATGAGTGACCAAGCGAAACCACGTTTCGGCATACAGCGGTTTTGAGTTGGATAAGTGAAAAAAGAGATTTTGTTCCTAAAAGTTAACTTTCCAACGCCCAATATTTCATGCCAGTAGATTAAGGCTTTCGGCTAAGCGAACGAAGTCAAACGTTAACAGCTGGTCACCGAGAGAACTAATGTAGATTTAAAAATGCCTTATTTTGTTTTCCCCAGTAAATAAGCACACTGGTCTGAAGAAAAGAGGAAAATATTTAACCCAAGGGTTTTGTGAGCCACTTTAGGCTTGTCTCAGAAGCCGTGACTGTCATTGTCACACGCACACAAACCGGGGAGTCACACTGCACAAAAATCCTCTCTAAAGTGACTGTAAGTGTGTGGTGTGGTATCGGTGGTGTTGCACACATTTAAACTGGAAGAAAAAGGCGTCTGTCCACAGCAGAGAGGACAATAATAAGCTTTCCTCTTCTGTTTAAGAAAATGTATTTTCCCGAGTGAGGTTGAGCGAGAGAGAGAGGAGCAAGACTTTAGCATTATCAAGACTATAATCAGTCCCCCCTCCTGCACATTGTCACCTCACCTGCCTGTGGCCTCATCAGGCCAAGGCCACATTTCATCCAATATAAATGAGGAGAACTTTGTCGAAGAGGCCACGGAAGTGGTAGACTTAGACCTAAAACTACGCAAGAATTATGTTGCAAAGTCGAGAACGTATGAGGCAGATTTTAAGGATTGAGGGATCAGCAACGTTTTGTAAATAAAAAAGAGGAGAATTATTAAGGCTACTATTACTTTGCCTACCTTGGATAACTATTCATATCAGATCTTGAAGGTCTTGTACTTGTGTATCCTGAACTGGACGGCTGTGAGCACATCAACTGGAAGATCGTGGGAATCTTACGCTGCAAACACACCTAGCTATGAGTATGTAGATCGTAACAAGTGTGGGAAAAAGGTGAAAAAATGGCCTCTTAATAACTAAATATATCAGACCATGAGGATTGATTAGATTTCTAGCTGTCCATAAAGCGGACGCCTTTACTCAAGGGGCAAGTTAAAACTGAGGTATTATGAAAGGTCCGTGAAGGAAGATCTATTTCACAGTCTCTTACAAGTTATTTCAGTTAATCATGCTAACTTTGAGCAGTGAAACCCCTAGGCAGCGAATAGAAGTCGTGTGGCACCTAAAAATTTTAACTCTCCAACTTGGCCGAGGTTAAATTCCAGCACTCTGGCTTAACAACTTCCAAATAAATGGAATCAAAGATGTTGAATTTGAGATGCGGATATTTACGGTCTTGATTTGTTGCCATTGTGTACTGAGAGACTCATGGGCATGTGTCCACTAGAGCCAGAAGCCATTGCAACTCATTTCGTTAGAACGCCTGCGTTCAGGACACACTCTCCGTTCCAATTAAGTTGGATCTTTTTCGGGCTACTTCCTGAGTGACATAGGCTCCAGTGGAGAGGCGAACGTCACCCCTTTTGTTTGGCAAATGGGATTGACCTAAACTCTGCACGCCTTTTCGCACCAGCCAGTAGGGTGGATGTCCAGTGCCCATTTTTGCATTAGATGCAAGATGACTATCTGATGGTGAGCTGCCGGCTGATCACGCTTTTGCTTTGTGCCCCAAAAAGTATTTGCGGCTGGTTTATTTAAATAACAGTTCCGACTACTGGTTTATCATTTCAATTTGGACTCAATGCCATGGCTGCTGATTACTTAACAGTGCTTGTTTGCCCAAATGGCGTTAGCAATCATTTTGTAATGCCTTAATATTGACAAGAAACCATCGGCTTGGCAGGTCGAAGGGAATGGGAGCCAGTAAGTCGAAAAAAAAGTTGCATCTAGCTCATGATTTACCTAAAGAACGAATATTCATCAGTTCTACTCCCAAGGGCATGCACGGAATAATGAGCAGTTTGAACAAAAGCACAGCGGATGATAACTTACCCGGAGCAGGTACTTCCGCAACACCATTCGGTTTAATCGCAGTTGTGTTGGTGGTCGTTGTGTTAACCGATTTCTGAGACTTTCGACTGGCCATATTATCCGTGTTTTGCCAGGGATTGTCAATAGGATTGGTAGTAGGCACAGCAGTGTCTTTGAGCCTCAGCCTTCGGTGGACGCCCCCGTGAGAGTCGTGTCGGGCGTCACGATCGAAGTCAATTGCTGAGAAGTGACGTGAACAAACACGAGAGTGTTGCGAGGGCCTGAAGTCCTTCCTCCCGCAAGCCACCACCCAAGCTGCTGTCCGTGCCAGGTCGCGTCGAGGAAAACGAAAAAAACTGAGGCCTCGACCATCGTCCGTTCGATTGTGGCAACCCGCAAAACAACATTGGGGCATCCTCATGCACCGTCTGAGAGCGCTTGGTTTGAGCAACTGTGTTGTGTGCGTTTGGGTGCGTATGAGTGTGCGCTCTTGCGTCGACCCAGGCTCTGCGTCTCTCTTCTACTGTATCTCCTTCCCTTCTTCGCCTCCGCTTCGTCCCTTTCCCCCATCTCCCCTCCACCTTCCTCGGCCCTGTCCTCTCTCTCCCTCACACGCGCACGCATGCACGCGCACTGGTCGCGAGCAAGTCCGGACACCAGTGTCGGTGGTGCGCACGTGCGTTTGCGCATCGTCTGAGGCCTGGCCACTCACAAGAGGCCAACACACAACACACACACACACGCATACACACCGCCGACAGAGTTCGCACTCCCCTTTTCTGGTTTGCTGGCAGCTCCTGATGCTGCTCTATTTACCCCACCTCCCTCCCTCTGCTGTCTATCCTTCTCCATCCCCATCTCTCTATCGAGGCCTACATGGCACTGCAATGTTGACTCATCATGGCATCGAATGTACCTCAATACCATGTGCTCCTACTTAGTGATCCCCCTTGAAAGTATTGTGGTTACCATTCGTTCTGGAGGATATTTGTCATAGAAGTGGTCAAAGGTGACATTCCTTCCCAAGCTTTCATGAGTAGTAATGAAATGACCGTTGCCGGATGTTCATGTACGTAGCGGCGCCTCAGAAGAAAAATGAGACCGCATCAAAGGTCACAAACAGTAACGATTGGTGGTAAGTGCTGTAAATGTGGGGAAGAGAGTGCAAGATAGCCCATATATGGCCATGCTAGATAATGTCGTATTTGGAGTTCCACAAATTTTACCGTAAGACGTCCTTAACGAAGCGCACGTAAAACGGAGACTTATTTGATCTCTCAGCTGACCGCTCCTCTGTTCCAAAGCATTTTTTTAAAAAAGTTTTCACTTTTTGAGCCAATTAACAAACATCCTAACGTATCGCCTGCCTGCCAGTTCCTACGATGAAAAATTAACCAGCAACTGATTATTAAGCGATTTAAGCGAGCAACTGCCTACTCAAAGCAAAACACGGCACGACCATTCAGTCTCTCAAATCAGACCCACTCCCCTATCTCCTCTTATTGAATCAAAGCACACCGAGTCACAGCCTATGCCCTTCCTTCCGCATGTGTTACGAAAGCCTTGAAACTCCGAGCTTGACTCACGCTGTGATGTTAGTCTTGAAAATAAGCCACAGAAGAACAAGCAAGCGGACCCATTGATTAATCTCCCACCTCTTTGCTGACTCAGTGCCCAATTCCCTTGGGCAATCCGCAGGGTCGTCGTATCTCACCCATTCACCCCCCTTTGAGCATTCGTCGACCCCCTCCCACCTACCCCCCTTCCTCTATCTCGCTGCCCTTCCAGCTCATGCGTGTGACCTCAGACCCAGTAATTAAGGACAGAATCGATACTACTAGTCTAACAGATCGTCCAGTGAAAATGAGGCGATGAGGTTAAACCCTCTCATGTGTAGTTGTCTCCTCGAGTTCGTGACAGCTCGCCCATGACAGACAAGTGGGGTTAAATAGCGTCGCAATTTGTGCTGGTCAACTTGTGGTCGAACTTGGCCACCCGTGCTGCTACCATTGCGGCTTTTTCCTTGGTTGAAAACGGAAACAGGTTTACAACTTCGCTGACGGAAAGTATGAAATTCATGTTTGTGGGCACGCATTATCAAAGCAGCTGATCTTTCTTACCCTTGTTGGCTGGTGGAAACATGGGTGCCTGAGATGTGATTAGAGGAGAAATAGGCTCCAGTCATCCCAACATTACTCATTTTGGTAGAGGCCTATCAGATAATTGCATGTTTTGCTCCCTTAAAACCCACCAGTTTTACTACCCTCGCCTAATTATTGTAGACAGCAGGGACACCATTTTGAAACGATTAAGTGGGAAGTGTGGACAATTCTCTTCACAAGTAGCGCAAGTTAGAAATGGTTTTAGAAAAAGCGGTTTTAAGTGTCAGTTGTCACTGTGGTAAGTATTCATTTCGCTCTATTTGTTGCTTTTGCGGTTATCCTGAAAAAGCCACCTTGATCTAAAACTAGTCAGCATGCTCACTACCAGAATCTCAGAGGCGAAACGCCAACCATAGCTCGGACGCCTTACTATTTTAATCTGAAATCAATTCGTCTTAGTTCATAATTCTTTACTAGTCTTAATCACACCCTTTTCATTTAATGCGCCGGATACGAGATAAGGTAGGGGAACTTGAGTGTCACGTATAAGTGACGCTGGCAGCGAACGTGTTCAACTGCCCAATAATCTCCGAATGATGGGCATACTTTCCATTCTATCACCCTGTACACAAAATTGCAGTTTATATTCAGAAAGGAATTCTTTTTGAGCATTAAGTCAGATGTACTGTGATTAAAGACTCACATCCTTTTATGCAGTGAACACACTAAGACTTGTTTTCAATGCCCTTTAAGGCTTAGTTTATGGCTGGTTTAGTCGATCCAGCTAGGTTTAAAATACACTTCTTAGTCCCATTATTGTATAAAATTAAATCGCGCTTGGGCCTTGGATTTAGAACTGTACTGGCCCGTTCAATCTAGAGGGTAACTGGAGAACACTTCTACGCTGTGGATGACGGACCCAGCCTCGGCAACTCAAACAGGGTCATTTGTGGAGGCAAACACAGGCCAGGTAATGTCGGGGTTGAGGTGGCACAGCACTTAGATGTGGATCATTTTGGCTTTGGAGGCAAATTAACGAGGCTTGATGCATGCAAGCGGAATTCTCATGCCCTATTAACCCTACTTCCGTCTGCACAAATGCTTTAAAGGAACTACATAGCGCCGTTTAGATGGAATCTACTAATTTTTTTCGCCTACGCCTGTTGAAAATGGAAGACTGTGAGTTAGAGTGCACGACAAGCAGGTTTGATTTTTCTGATTTAGCATTTAAGAGAGACGTTGGTCCGAACAGGCTGGCAGGTAAAGCTCGCCCCATGGGGTGGCGATTTTACAAAATCCTCGATTGTTGTTTATTACATGTTCAAGTAGCGCTAAGCCTAAAAAATTGACGATTCCTTCCCCAATTTTCCATAAATCCTTCCTAAATTGCGAAAGAAGGGTGGTTTAGAACATTGCAAAGAAATCCTTCAAATGAGACATTCATCGAAGGTACTCGAAAATAAAATCAAGTCTATTTATAAACAAATGTGCCATTTTCTTCATAGCACGGAAGTAAGGTTAATTGATGCCTTCAATTTGAACGTGATAAATAGGGAAATAACATAACTATTAGTGAATCACCAAAGTGAAATATGGATGTAACTAATCCCATCCATTAATTACCGAGTCTTGAATGAGACAACTTTGAGCTCGAAAGCATGAAATTAACAAACTGCTGTCGTTTCAAGTCCAAATGTCTTTGAGTTCTGTCACAGACTAACTGTTTTAGCCCTGAAGAAGAATGAAGTTAGTAGGGCGGCAAGAATGGTTGAGGATCCGTGCTTAAGTCATGCCGGCCGATACCCCATGCCAGTGTGAACTTCATATGGGGTGGGCGTTTTTACGGTGAGAATGCCTATGTGCATATTCCAATGGTTCCTCTCTTGCTCTTTCTACTCCTTTCTCCCTCCCACCGACAGACCTCGGTCGTAATGTCCAGCATCCTTAATTAGAGGCCCAGACCGCGGGAGAGTGGGGACCAAATGCAAGCTGAGAAAGTGGTTAAGGGGGGGGGGAGGGGAGAGGAAGATAGCGGCCACCGTAATTGGGAGACAATAGAGATGCCGCTGTTGCCGCCACTTCTCCTTCCTATGTCCTGTTTCTGTCCTCATGCCACCACCTTCGCCACATTGTTGGTTACCATAGTGAATGATTAATTAAGACCGATTTATTTAATTACGTTAGCAACACTTCAGTTCGCTCTGGTACTGGGAATGCTCGGGGTGAGAAAGGAAGGGGCTTAACGCCCAAGAGTGTCTAGAGCACCGAGACCCTTCTGATGTGGGTTGATAAAACGCGGCAGAGTAAGCGGAAGGTCTGACGTCCAAGTCATTCGTGCTAAAAAAGAGTACCATTTGTAAACCACTTTTAATTCAAATTTTAATATGGAAAAAAGTGCAAAGGCTAAACAAGCTTTCGTTAATTTCAATCAGATTGCTCAACAAACTGAAATTCCTTCATTGTGGGTTGCCCCTAGGATAATAACTCCTCACGAACCCCTCATCAACCAACTCCATTAACACTTTCGATGGCACGTTGTTCCTGCAGCCAAAAAACACCCCTGAAGGTGAACTTTTAAACTTTGTCATTGCTATCATTTCTAAAATGCAATTTTTCGATTCGCCTTAAATACTTCGATCAAAAGTTATGCTTTGTACGGAGACTACATTCTACCATACCTTTATTTCAACCCAAGGAATTAAACTGAGTGTGCTGTATTTTGGGGTCTAGAGTAATCCATTCCCATGTCCCAACTGCCTGTTAAATTAGATTCAGCCATTTCGTTCGGATGACATAGCCTTAATTCCTAATGTAAACATAACGCTAGCTACCTCAGTTTCAGCTCTGTATGCGGAGTAGTAAAGATTGGAGCTGAGATCCAAATGCACTGGTGTAGCAGACTCTGACTTGTACTAGCTGTCATTAATCAAATGAATGCCGCCTATGCGGAAAGTAGACCACGTAGAGGTAAACCTCCTGGCGATCTGCATTGGCCGCGCGTGCCTCCAGCTTGAACGCGAGCACCGGTGCGCGCGCAACTGAGCTAGCAGCAGGAGGACGCAGCGGAGGAGGGGGCGCAGGAGGAGGAGGAGGCAAAAGAAGAAGAGGCCCTGTATTGATTACACGAAGAGAGTTAGGGAGTGAGTGAGGGAGAGAGACACGCATACATGCGGTGGGCTGCCCGCCCCCTCCAGTGGAAGAGGGAAAGCGGAGGCTTGACAGAAGGAAAGGTGATCGCCTGGGCTTGTATAAGTGGGCATGCGCGCGTACATGTTAACCTACGCACGCACATACGTACACACGTGCGGAAGTG